AGACGATAGTTCATTGCGGTAGTACAAGGTCGACAGGCACGACCACTGAACCCCCAAATGGATGTGCCGGTGCACCCCCGGGTACAGGTAATACGAGGAACTGTGGTTCCATTAAGCCACCTCGAGGAATCACTGTCTGGCGATTAGAAAAGAAGGACATGCACCCTACTTTTGAAACGCAACGTGGAAAGCACTATTCCGCACTAGTTTATACTGCGGACACTTTCCTGAGGATGGAACAAGAGGATCGAATGGTGGCGTACACGCCCAAAGAAGGGGTTGAAATTCACGATGCAAATAAGCAAAATGGACTACACTGGGAGAGAGCACACAAGAAAGACGACTTACCCTGGACTTGGTGAGGTTTCAGGTGTTTGACAAAATCCGGATCAACCTCAACCAGGGGTTCCTTGGTGCCCTCCTTGCAGTCTAGAATGACGCGTGTGACTGAGCCGGACTCCAATACATCGCCGGTAACCTCGGCGACAGTGTTGTACTGAGCAAGGAAAGATAATATAATGAAGTATGCTAAATTGGACATATAAATATAACAGATGAATTCAAGTTTTACAATTGCTACGGCCAGCCACTTCGTCTATACAAGATCTACCATCTTAAAACATATACCGGATCATAGGACCGAAAACATTTACGTCCCAGTTGACGAAACGCACTCACATTGGCTAGTTCTAGCTCAATGGACACGGTGCTAAGAAGGGCCAACCAAACTTTGAGGCAGTGCGGGGGGTGAACATAGACATAAAAATTAACCAAACGGAAGGCCAATGAGTAACTGGTGGGCTGCCCGACACGAGGGTATTTGCTTTTCGGGCAGTAAATCGATGTCAATCTGCACACCAAAACGAACGTCCATCAGGCAGCGACGGTCACAACAGCCACATGTCCCAGGGAGTGCGCGTAACACCAACGACTTGTGCGTGATATAGTCTATAATGAGATATACTTTCGCTGCATCTATCGCACCTACCGCCTTGCTCTAATGGCAAGACAAAGTCAAGGCACGACCAGAGGTGGGCGCGAGCGCAGGCAGCTGACAAAGCAAAACATTCCGACTATGTGCGCCATGCATTCGACCTGGTCGCCGCAGAATGTAAT